GTGAAATTTTGCATAACAGGTCAAAGGTCATACTTAGCAAAGTTCAATACTTAGGGTAAATATTAAAAGAAACGAAATTTTTTCAAACATATATAAAATAATTTAGCCTACATTTCTTAAATAATTGCTTTTAATCTTACTGATTAGAGCGAGGAGGACAAACTATTCTGATTTGCCTAATACCCACTAGTGCTGTTAAATGAAATATTGTATTAATAGTTTTGTTAGTTAGTTGCCACAACATGCCGTTTTGTTTACTTAAAATGTGTTGCATGTTGCTTTAAGGCTTTTACAGCAACAATTCCTCATACAACTAGCCATTCACTTTCATGCTAATAATAAATACTTAAGTGTTAAAATTGATTAAAGTTTTAAAATGCAGTGAAAAAGAAAGTGTTAAAAAGGGTTTATACAATTGTTTAAATTTAATTTTTTTGAAAATTTTCTTAAACATTTTAAGCTTGCAAATAATGACCTTTTTATAATTATTGGTTATAAAGTAAATTTTCAGTTTCTTATTAGGAAATCTGTTATATTTTTGTTTTATAAATATGACCTTTGACCTTTTTAAATGATTGATTTTAAAGAATTTTTTTAGGAATTCTTATAGATTTTATTTCCAAAACGTTTTTTTTTTATAAGACTAGGCTCAAAATGTTATAGTTTTGTAAGTATGACCTTTGACCTTTTTTCAAATTCGTCTTTTTAGAGTAAATTTTTAGCTTTTTGGTCAGAAAATCGGCTAGATTTTGCTTGTAAAATCAGTTTTTATCAGTTGAGGCCTTAACTATAAATCTTTTATAAATATGACCTTTGACCTTTTTTACAAATTATTTGTTTTTAAAGTAAATTTTAAGTTTTTGTGTTACGAAATTTATTAGATTTTTGTTTCAAAACTTATTTTTATTAGATTAGGCTTAAAATATTAAAGTTTTAAAAGTATGACCTTTAACCTTTATTAGAAAAAATTCAAATATTGAAGAATTTTAAGAAATTTTTAAAAAAATTTTTCAAAATTTTGTTTACTAATATAAAATAAATTATTTGTATCATTCAAGGCTTTAACTATAAATGTTTAATTAATATGACCTTTGACCTTTTTTCAAATTGTTTGGTTTTAAAGTAAATTTTGAGATTTTTTGTTAGGAAATTTATAAGATTTTTGTTTCAAAACTTATTTTTATAAGATTATTCTCAAAATATTAAAGTTGTATAAGTATGACCTTTGATCTTTATACGAAAATATTTTAATATTGAAGAATTTTAAGAAATGTTTAAAGAATTTTGTAAAAATATTGTTTATTTATATAAAAGATATTATGTGTATTAAATATAAACCAATTTTAACACTATGACCTTTGACCTTTTTATATAAATTGTTAAAAAATTAAGTAAATTTTTACAAAATTTGCTGTAAATTAAATTGTATGTGTTTTATAAGTGATTTTTTATTAGGTACTAGTTTAAAAATAGAAATAATATTGAAATGAACTTTGACCTTTTTAAGAAATTTTAGTTTTTGGGATAAATTTTGAAGTTTTTGCTTAAATTTTGTGATTTTTAGAGTAATTTTAAATTAAATTTAGTTAGTAGCTTAAGGTTCCTTGGCATTTCATTTTCATATTTAGTTTTTTTCAATATTTATCTTCTAAAACTGCAATCAATACATATTTTCTCGATTTAATAAATCGTATTAAATTTCATATCGTTATTAACAAACAACCTCATCATCATCATCATTATTATTATTATTATCTGCTGCTACTGCTTGAGAGTCCAATATGTCCTGCTTTTCTTCCTGCAGACTTCTTTTAACCAAGATAGTCCTAGTAGTAGTAGAAGTGTGTGGCCATGTGTATTTACTTTATTGTCATTTTTGCAAACAATATTTTTTCTTTTGCCTTGGAACTGCAACTTTATACACTTAATAGGGAATAAGGAAGTTTATATATATAAATTATAAATCGATTTTTGTTTTATTTATTCTTGTCTACTCGTCTTTTATCACTTTAGGTCTCTGGACACAGGCAAAAAAAAAAAACAAACTGAAACGAGACATTTTTTTCCTACTATTTGGTTATACATATAGTATAAATAACATTGAACCTTTTGCAGAGCGAGAATTTTATAAAAAGAAAATCAAGTCAAAAGATAAAAAAATATAAACTTCAATATCAATAGATAAATGCTTTTGTTGTGTTAAGAAGAAAAATATAAAATGATATAAAACAAACGTTTGAATATGAAATTTTTTTTTTATATACAACTTTAATCATGTCTACCAACTGTCTGGCAGGATTTCATAGTAAAACACAAAAAACACCAAGAAACTATTCATATCAGGGTGAGCCTGCAAAACCTATGAGTGATGGTATCATCTGAAATGGACAATCAATGCTGCATTGCCATAAATAACTCAATATTTTTTTTGTTTTGCTTTACATCGCCACAACTTAACTCGTTTGATTTATAGTTCATTGTTGTTGTGAGGTCTTTTTTTGTATAAATATAATTTAAAATGTGTGAAAAATAATAAAATGATAAAAATATAGCAAACTATAGTTAGGCAATCAAATGTTTAAATAAATTTTGCCTAAAGGCAATAGTGTTTGGGAATAACTGAAAACTGTTGCATATTAACTATTTCTCAATGACATAGTTAAATATCACAACTTTTTTTAATAAAATTTTATAAAAATTTCCCTGCAAATTATTCAACTTCTAAACATAGACAAAATTGATAAGTTCTAGACTCAAACTTTGACCTCTTAATAAAAAATATCAACTTTTGCCAATATGTACAAGAATTTTAATAAAAATCTTTTAAATTAAACAAATTATTTGTTAAAAATCTACGAAAGATCATTTTACTAGAAAATATCATAAATTTAACAATATGACCTTTGACCCTTTTTTACAAAATTAATTTTTTAGCTATTTGATAGCAATTTGTTTACAAAATTATCCAAACTTTACTTCTTTTTTAATTGCCTTTAAGTTTTGATGCAAAAATAAAACTTTTATCAAAATGACCTTTAACTTTTTTTTTAAATATTAGAGAAATTTTGCCATTTCATAGAAAATTTTCTACAAAATTACTTCAATTGTATTTCTTAAAAATTTGCCTTTAATTTTAGTTTAAAATCTAGAATTTTTTTCGCCATGGCCTTTGACCTTTTTCTGAAAAATTTTAAATTTCAAGTAATTTAAAAAAAAAATATTACGAATTTAATAAAATTTTATTTCCAAGATATTTGTCTTCATTTTAAGATCAATATAATATATTTTTGTTAACATGACCCTTGACCTCTATTGCAAAAAAGTTTAAATTTAGCAAGAAATTTAAAAAATTTTAATTGCGAAATAAATAATTTACTTCAGTTTAATTATTTCCCCGTAATATTTTGAGAAATTGAAAAGTTTTCAATGTTGGACCTTTGACCTGCTGAATAATTATTCAAATTTCTTTTCCCAAATTCTTTTGTTTTCAATTTATGATGATCTTTGACCTTTATAAAATTAATTATAAATTAAAGAAATTTTTAACATTTTTGATACAAAATTGTTTCATTCTTGAAAACTGAGTAAAGTTTTTAAAATATTTCGAACTACTTGACGGTTTGGAAAGACTTGACCTTTGACCTTTATTTTAAAAATAAAAATTTTGAGAAAAGTTTAGAACTTTTTTATGTAAAATCGTGTGGCTTTTAAATCTGAATTAAGTTTTCCAAATATTTTGAGCTAAAGGACATTTTAGAAAAGCTTGACTTTTGACCTTTATTTAAAAAATATAAATTTCGAGAAAAAATTTAGATTTTTTTATAGAAAATTTTTAAATTTCTTAAAACTAAAGACAGTTAACTAATAATTCGAGCTAATGTATATTATAGAAATACTTGACCTTTGACCTTTATTAAAAAAATATAAATTTCGAGAAAAATATTGATATTTTTATGAAAACTTATTAAATTTGTTAAAACTAAAGAAAGTTTAAGTAATATTTCGAGGTTATGAACAATTTGAATCGGCTTGACCTTTGACCTTTATATAAAAAATTGAATTTTAAGGAAGTTATACATATAATTTTTATGTAAAATTATTAAATTTGGAAACTAAATATAGTGTAATTAATATTTCGAGCTAGTGGAGATTTTCAAAAGGCTTGCCCTTTGACCTATATATATAAATTTTAAGAAAAAATTTGATTTTTTCTTACATAAAATTATTTACTTTATCGAAACTATGTAATCTACTTAAAAATTTTAAGCAAATGAGGAGTTTAGAAAGTCCTGACCTTTGACCTTATAAGAAAAAAGTTTTAAAATTTTATAAATTTTACTATGAAAATGTTTAATTTGCATTTATGGATTAAATAAGGAAATAATTTAGTGAATTATAGAAGTTTTAGCTGTATGACCTTTGACCTTTTTGAAAAAATTGCAAGAATTTGAGAGAATTTTATTAAAAATTTAATACTTTTTACTGGTTTTATTTATTTGTAGACGATTATTAAACTTATAGTTTACTTTTTTTATAGTTCTTAATAATTTGTTATAAATCCGCCCAAAAGTAGGTTTTAAATTCATTTAAACAATTAAATTTCTTTTAGTTTTAAACAAGCTGAGTGCTAATAACAAAAAATGATTTTATTTAATAAATTTCCTTAAAAAAAACAAACCATAAATTTCAAATGAAATAAAATTTGTCAACAATGTTTTTGGTAAAAACTTCAAGGAAATTAATAACCCAGCTGGCCTAAAAATAGGCTAGAAAAAATTGCTGCAGAAATATTTTAAACCAAAAAAAAAAACTTAATAGTAATTAAAAGCCATAATAATAACAAATTGAGTTTGTGAGTGAAAAAGAAATCAACATAAACTGAAAAATTGTTTACAATAACAACAATTAAAACAAACAATAAATCTTGTGCATAATAAATGAATAAATATAAAATTTGAAAATATAAATCAACAGTGTTTAAAGAGAAAGAGAGAGAAAAAAAATGTTTAAAAAATTATTTAAATAAAAATATTATAAAAAAATGTGTTGAATAGCAAAAGCATATCAAAGTAAAAAGTTTTTTTTTTGGGTGAAATTTTTAAAAAATAATGGATGCCACCATGATGTTGTGTGATGAACCACAACAACAGCAACGTTTACGCAAAAACAGTTCATCCCCTCCCTGTGCCAACACCAATACCAGCAGCAAAAGCAACAATAGCACTTTAAAAAAGCATCATCAACATCAAATGCAGCAGCAACAGCAACAACAACAACAGGAAATGATGATGACACAAGCGAATTCATCAGTTGCAAACCAGGAATTAACACAAACAAACAACACCAATGGTTGCCTAAATAGCAGCACAGCCGCAACTGTTAGCAGCAATGGTATGGTGGGTGGTGTCTGTGTTAGCAGCAACAATAAAAATCTACATATCACTTCACATTCTAATAATTCCTCCGTCAACTCTTCACCCTCCAAGATCTTAACATCAGCATATCAACAGCAGCAACAACAGCAACAGCATCATCAACTACATCACACGCTATCCGCTGCCACACTGCAACATTTGCATCATTCGCCTCAACAGCATCCAGCTATAGTCAATTTAAAACAATGTTCCTCACATGTTGGTGGAGGCGGTGTGGGTGTTGTTAATTCTGGTGGTGGTGGTGGTTCTAGTATTTGTTGTTCTGGCAGTGGTTGTTTAAGTGGCTCTTCAACGCCACCTTTACATCATCATACATTGTATCCGGGTTTACTGATGGCATCAGGTTGTTATGCATCTAGTGGCCCCAATTCGTTGGTAAACTCTCCGGCCATGGGTCGTCGTAAACGTTATACCAGCAATTCTTCGAATTGTTCAACACAGTTTAATAATAATTATACAGGTTTGGATGCCGATTCATTGGATGATATGTTAAGAAAGGTATGAGGCTAAAGATTTTTAAGTTTAATTATTATTTTGTTATTTACTAAAAAAACAACAACAAAAATATTTGCCAAAATTATTAAAAAGTTAAGGTTTGAATTCTCATTCTCACACTATACACTAGACAGTAAATTAGACTGTAGACTAGACTATACTATAGACCAGACTATAGACTAGACTATAGAATATGGACTGGACTATAGATTAGACTTTAGACTAGACTATAGACTAGACTATAGACTAGACTATAGACTAGACTATAGACTAGACTATAGACTAGACTATAGACTAGACTATAGACTAGACTATAGACTAGACTATAGACTAGACTATAGACTAGACTATAGACTAGACTATAGACTAGACTATAGACTAGACTATAGACTAGACTATAGACTAGACTATAGACTAGACTAAGACTAGACTATAGACTAGACTAAAGACTAGACTATAGACTAGACTATAGACTAGACTATAGACTAGACTATAGACTAGACTATAGACTAGACTATAGACTAGACTATAGAGTAGACTATAGACTAGACTATAGACTAGATTATAGACTAGACTATAGACTAGACTGTAGACTAGACTATAGACTAGACTATAGACTAGACTATAGACTAGACTATAGACTAGACTATAGACTAGACTATAGACTAGACTATAGACTAGACTATAGACTAGACTAAAGACTAGACTATAGACTAGACTATAGACTAGACTATAGACTAGACTATAGACTAGACTATAGACTAGACTATAGACTAGACTATAGACTAGACTATAGACTAGACTAGACTAGACTATAGACTAGACTATAGACTAGACTATAGACTAGACTATTAGACTAGACTATAGACTAGACTATAGACTAGACTATAGACTAACATAGACTAGACTAGTAGACTAGACTAGACCATAGACTAGACTAGACTAGACTATAGACTAGACTATAGACTAGACTATAGACTAGACTATAGACTAGACTATAGACTAGACTATAGACTAGACTATAGACTAGACTATAGACTAGACTAAGACTAGACTATAGACTAGACTATAGACTAGACTATAGACTAGACATAGACTAGACTATAGACTAGACTATAGACTAGACTATAGACTAGACCTATAGACTAGACTATAGACTAGACTATAGACTAGACTATAGTAGACTATAGACTAGACTATAGACTAGACTATAGACTAGACTATAGACTAGACTATAGACTAGACTATAGACTAGACTATAGACTAGACTATAGACTAGACTATAGACTAGACTATAGAGTAGACTATAGACTAGACTATAGACTAGACTTAGACTAGAACTATAGACTAGACTATAGACTAGACTATAGACTAGACTATAGACTAGACTATAGACTAGACTATAGACTAGACTATAGACTAGACTATAGACTAGACTATAGACTAGACTATAGACTAGACTATAGACTAGACTATAGACTAGACTATAGACTAGACTATAGACTAGACTATAGACTAGACTATAGACTAGACTATAGACTAGACTATAGACTAGACTATAGACTAGACTATAGACTAGACTATAGACTAGACTATAGACTAGACTATAGACTAGACTAAAGACTAGACTATAGACTAGACTATAGACTAGACTATAGACTAGACTATAGACTAGACTATAGACTAGACTATAGACTAGACTATAGAGTAGACTATAGACTAGACTATAGACTAGATTATAGACTAGACTATAGACTAGACTGTAGACTAGACTATAGACTAGACTATAGACTAGACTATAGACTAGACTATAGACTAGACTATAGACTAGACTATAGACTAGACTATAGACTAGACTATAGACTAGACTATAGACTAGACTATAGACTAGACTATAGACTAGACTAGACTAGACTATAGACTAGACTATAGACTAGACTATAGACTAGACTATAGACTAGACTATAGACTAGACTATAGACTAGACTATAGACTAGACTATAGAGTAGACTATAGACTAGACTATAGACTAGATTATAGACTAGACTATAGACTAGACTGTAGACTAGACTATAGACTAGACTATAGACTAGACTATAAACTAGACTATAAACTAGACTATAGACTAGACTATAGACTAGACTATAGACTATACCATAGACTACACTATAGACTAGATTATAGACTACACTATTTATTTATTTATGGTCTAGTTGATAGTCAAGTCTGGCCTATAGTCTAGTCTATAGTTTACTGTATAGTCTAGTCTATTGTGTAGTCTATAGTCTAGTCTATAGTCTAGTCTAACGTCTACTCTATAGTGTAGTCTTAAGTCTACTCTATAGTGTAGTCTATAGTATAGTCTATAGTCTAGTCTATAGTCTAGTCTATAGTCTAGTCTATAGTCGAGTCTAAAGTCTAGTCTATAGTTTAGTCTATAGTCTAGTCTATAGTCTAGTCTATAGTCTAGTCTATAGTCTAATCTATAGTCTGGTCTATAGTGTAGTCTATAGTCTAGTCTGTAGTCTAGTCTAGTCTATAGTGTAGTCTATAGTCTAGTCTATAGTCTAGTCTATAGTCTAGTCTATAGTCTAGTCTATAGTCTAGTCTATAGTCTAGTCTATAGTCTAGTCTATAGTCTAGTCTATAGTCTAGTATATAGTCTAGTCGATAGTATAGTATATAGTCTAGTATATAGTAGTCTAGTTTATAGTTAAGTCTATAGCCTAGTATATACTCTAGTCTATTGTCTAGTCTATAGTCACGTCTATAGTCTAGTCTATAGACTAGTCTCTCGTCTAGTTTGTAGTCTAGTCCTCCTTAGACTAGAGTATGTTGTCTATTCTATAGTATATAGTCTATTCTTTAGTCTAGCCTATAGTCTAGTTAATAGTCTAGTCTATAGTCTAGTCTATAGTTTGGTCTATAGTTTAGTATATAGTCTAGTCTATAGTCTAGTTTATAGTCTGGTCTATAGTCCAGACAATAGTCTAGTCTATATTCTAGTCTATCGTGTAGTCTATAGTCTAGTCAATAGACTAGTCTATAGTCTAGTATTTACTAGACTAGATATTATATTCCATGGACTAGTCTATAGTCTAGTCTGTGATCTATTTTTTAACAAAAGAAGTAAAATGTTTAAATGTTTACTATTTACCTTGTTATTTTTGTATACAAAAAGAACAAAAGAACTAAATCGTTGCTAACAATGTCTCAATTGTTAAAAAAAGGTGACACTAACACAATTTCTTCTTAAAGTTATTTTCTTGAATTTTTGCTAAAACTAGCAAAATTCTTGACATTTGACCCTGATGTTTAAATTTCAGGATATTTCTTAGTATTTTTTCTCTAGTTTTTTGCCTTATTACGCAATTTAAAGATTTCTTTGCATTTTATACGTACATTTCTTGATTCGTTTGTTGGTATCTGGTGTATTAATCCTAATTGAAGTCAAATCCCCTTAGAAAAACGTAAACAAGCAAAAAACCCTTTTTTTCTTCTAGTTAAAGAGTTCCTTCGTTAGTGTATGTGTGTTTTATTCTTTTGGCTGTGGCGTGTGTTCTTTTTTAGTTTTAGTTCAAAATCTTGTTTAGTTTTTTTTTTCTTCTTTTAAGAACCTAAACAATGTTTTCGTTTAGTCTATGATTTTGTGGGTTTTTTTCTGTTGTTGTTTTTTTTTTTTTGCGAAATAAATTGTGTTTTTTAAGCAAAAAGTATGGAAAATAAGAAAATTATCTTAGTTTTTCTAGTCGTTACTCGTTTTAGTTTCTGATTAGTTAAGTTTTTGGCCTTTAAGTTTAAATGGCAACAAATTTGAGGAAATATTTTTTTCCAGGGGAATTAAATTGATGAAAAAAGGGGTTTTAGAAGAATGTCTTAAAAACAAGGAACAACTTTTGCAATTTGTTTAAATTTTCCTATAACAAATATTTGTTTTTTTGAAATAGAAATATTTTTAGATTTAGAAAAACTTGCTATCTTAATAATATTTTTTAATTTAACAACTGACCAAATCATTATTTATGTAGAATTTTAAATAAATTTTTATAACATTGAACCAAATTTAAAAAAATTTAATTTAAAAAATTGCTTAAAGTTTAAAATTTTATAAAAAATTTTTTCTTAACTTTCGTATTTTTCCTAGTTTCATAAAATTTTTTTATTTAACAGTAAACTATACATTGTTTACCTATTGTTTACATGAAATTTACCTCATGTAAAAAATAAAGATAAAGTTAGCTATACATCCATGTAAGGAAATTATACAATTGTACCTATTTCACGCCAGTTTACGCATTGTTTACTCACATGCCTAGAAATTGTTTAAATTTCAAGCGAAATTTTCAAAAACTCTTAATTGTTTACCTGATTACGTGAAATATTTACATTGTTTACATAAATTTTACTTTATGAAAAAAATTGTTGACAGGTTTTAAATAAGTTTGTATTAAAAAAATCCGATTTTCTTTTAATTCTACACCCGTTTACTCATTGTTTACACGGCTAATTCAATAAATTGAGCTAAAAATTAATAATTTCTTAAATCTTTACCTTATTATGGGAAATATTTACATTGTTTACATATTATTTTACCTCATGTAAAATTTTGTTCAAATGTTTTTAATAAAACTTAGTAAGAAAATTAAACATTTTTATTGAATTTTCCCAATTTTACTTAATATTTACACGAGTATTCAGGAAAATTTACATTGTTTACATATTTTTAAAAATGAGGTAAATAATCATGTAAATCGCTAAAAAGCAGAATAAAATAATTATATTAATACTTATATACAACCTTTATGTAAAATTAATTGTTTACACCCGGTCAAAAACTTGTGTATACTTTTCTAACCTAATGTCAAGAATGTAAACAATTGTTCAAACGATGTAAAAAATGCCATATTTGTGATAAAAACCCAATTTAAGAAACATTTTTAATTCTTTCTGTGAAATATTTGAAAATAACATTGTTTAAATGATATTTGGCCTAAAACAACTTT